ACATATATTATGCTTCATTTTGAATTGTGATAAGTGTTTGAACTATAGACTCGGGATTTCCACTGTGGCGTGCTTCTATTATGACATACCCATACGTATTTTTGTGGTGCGACATAGTTGAAACGTATGACCGTAATTGGAACATATAGTGGAAATGGCTCTAATGTAATAATAAAACCAAAAGATGGTATGATGGCATGTTTTACTTGTAACTTACAAGAAGAGGTTACAAAGTATGCGTTGGAAACATAAAACCTGTAAATTTTGCTTTCTATGAGTCACAATCAGCGATTTGCTGATCGCTGAGTGAGTGAGTGAGTGAGTGAGTGAGTTTGTGAAAAATCGCTGATTGTGACTCTCATGAAGTGAAATAAACAGGTTTAATATGTCAAACACATTCTTTGCAACCTCTTCTTGTATCCTACCAATTCATGTTCAATATTTCATAATTTAGAAAATCATTGTTTTAGCTGAAATGAGTCTTTGCAACCTTGCATTCAACTGCTTGCGCAACTAGCTACCCAATCAGACTGTTGCGTAAATAAACCGTTCACCTCTATCGCATCTCTCATTTCCTTACCCTTCTCTTACCCGCAGTTTACCACTTACTGGTTTTTCCCAAACAGTCAGCAAGTGAGAACACCTCTATATTTAATTTCATCTTGGCTTCATTTTTTGTGAATGCAAACCATTTAACGATTCGCGTCAGTTGTGCGAGCAGAAAGGCTAAAGGCCGGCGCGCAATAGATACGTTTTCGGGTTTTTTGACAGATAATGCATGGGCTAACTGTCAAAAAACCTGAAAACGTATCTATTATGCACCGGCCTTAACAGATTGTTTGGATGCGGTTTTCAGCAAATTCGGTTTTTGATAAATTTTCGGCCTTTGGTTTTCGGCCTTTCTGGCTTTCGGCCTTTTGGTTTTCGGCCTTTTGTGGTACCTTAGAATATTTTCGGCCTTTTGTGTTTCGGCCTTTTGTGCTTCGGCCTTTTGTGATTCGACCTTCTGTACGGGTCCCAAAAAATGTGAAAGTTTTATGGATTCTGTTCCCGTCTTACGTAAAGACCAAATCGAAACAACTAACGTCGCGTAAAAGTAGAATTTGGGTCGTATACGGTTTTGAAATCGATGAACAAATGATGTGTGGGCACGTTGTATTTGCGGCATGGATCACCCACAATTATGGGATTAGATAATAGTTAATAGCTGGCCCATAATACTGGGATGACTATATTTTAAGCTGAACATTGCATTGGACTTAAAGTAACATTGACAATCGACTTTCTCTTTGTATCCACGGCCATGTAAAGACATTCCCAGGTATTTTCAGCACAAAGATCGATAAAAGAAGCTTTCATCTAGCATCTAATACGACACACACCACAATAAACGGCTATGTGCTCAAGTTATTAACTTAAGAGAAAGTCGACGAAGAGAATCGATCAATGGACATAAAGCAGCTTGATTTTAACTTACGTAGGAATACTTCCAAGTTGACTCCGAGTGCTCCGATTAGAAAATCTGCGATGAGCTTTACGTCATACCACGATAGGAGCCATGTTTGCCTTTGCATATGTTTGTCTTACGGCTTTTTCGCACAAATGACATGAATTTCATAAGGCGCGTCAATGAACATCCAATGTATGACGTAAGTAGAGTGGAGACGACTTCTTCGGACAGCAGAGGACAACAAGGCCTTAGCCTGATTGATACATACATGTATGACGTAAGCATTACCAGCAATTTAAGAAGTCTTTATGGTATACCAAATAGCATAAGGAACACCCTATCGAATGACCCATCTGCCGAAGCAGCGGTAATCTGCTCCATTAAAGACGCCAAACTTTACAAAAGTATTTAACCCCAAGGACTGACACGATCACCAACAACCCGCTATTGACAAAATTTCTACTATGTAAACTAAGCCAGCAACTACGACACTACTTAGCTATTATATTTGTACTCTTGTTTAAACCACTCTATGTTTGAGGACTTCCCTCTGGAGCCCTACCCTATGAAAAAAAAACACTGTGTGTTAGGGAAACCTCTTTTCGAGGCCTACCTTCTTGTAGGGGACCCCCTTCTGGGGCCCTAAATTCTCAACTTTGTTATTTGAGACACCTCCTTCTGGGGTTCCCATAAATGAACCAGCCGACGGCTGAAAGTCTCTTTAATAAAGAAAGATATAAGATGACGTAAGCAAATCATAGGTAATATATGGAAATCATAGTTGTCTTCTAGATTTTGAATGTTTATGCAGCTTCATTGCCTGAGTGTATGAGCTTACTGTTAAGTTTGCCACGAAATTTGCCAAAATCCCTTATTAGAATATTCATGCATTGTGCTTGGTCGTCTGACATTTTCGTGGTATTGGATTTTAACTAATATTGTTACAGTGGATTTTTCTTTTAAAATTAAAAAAATGATTTCAACAGAAATGAATGCACGTAAATAGTTTTCCGCGAAATGGTAAATACCGCCAATTGGTTTTCTGTGAAATGGTACACAACGCCAAATAGTCAGTTTAGCTCATGCCGTGTCTTCCCTTTGTTTGTGTGTGCTGGCGTTCCGCCTCCCGGACGAATGTTGTCATCGTCGTGTTTGTGCGTTGAGGTTGTGTTTCAGAAATGCAATCGAAGTGTGCCGTGGCCGCTATTAGACGCGTGGGTTTTCGGTCGCTGGAGTTTTTGGTTCTGATTTCGGCGTTCGTCGCCAGTTGATTCGGCCGGTGAAGAGCTGGCGTCGCGAGTTATTGGTGATGGAAAGTGGATGCAGTCCTTTTTTCTCTGCTGAGATCCCTCTAGTTGGAGCAGCTAGAGAGTAATTCGGGTTTGCGCTGCTTTGTGAGAACCGAAAGTGCTGTTTTTAACACCTGTTGAAGAAGTAGCGGCAGCATATCTATTGGAGCTCTTCGAAATCATCGTGATGTCATGGATTCCTTTGCAACATATCGGGTGAGATCTTTCTTTAATTTTTCTCGTAATCCCATTTTATTGTTAGTCATGTTAGTTATACATCACACTTTACACACTTTAAACATACATGTATGTTTTCCGGTAGCAGATAATGGACTCCTGGAAAAAGCGAAGTGGAACCAGAGCCCGAGGTTCTGGATCGTATCACCTTAAAATAATGTCTATGTTCTGCTTCCCGCTTTTCGTTAGTCAGCCAAAAGATCCCTTCACACCGATCGCGTTTGTCATAGTGGTCTTTGGTTTTTTGTTCATGATTCCGTTAAAAAAATCTGGGACTTTGAACAGTTATCTGAAGTCTATGACTTGGAAAATTGGTAACTACACTACACACACAATGCTGATTTCTGTTTGTCAAACTTTGTAAACATATCAAACAGAAATGAATAAATAGTGTATTACTGAATTGGGGATGGGTGGCATTCACTAGCCCGAGAATACCCTCCAGATGCTAGCCTCTTCACCAACCATACATCAGTACACACTTATCCAGTCAGTAATTTTTACTGAGTTTTTGACTTGCGGAACTCTTCGCTAAAATTTAAAAAAATCTGTTAAAAATTTAAAGTTGCGAAAGTGTGTTACGAAAATGTACAGACTTACTTTTGTTAACCCCGAGTAATGATGAAAAATAAAATTTTTCGATTCATCCAATCTTTACGAATAGCAGTCAATTGAATTTTAACCGAGTTTTTCAGTAATCCAAAAATCCAGTAAAAAAATACTGCCTCCTGAAAAAAATCTAAGTGTGTATACAGAAGCAGCGGAGCTGCACACTCCTCCATCGGAACAGCACCGCAGCTGAGCTGCGAGTGCTATGAAATAAAAGGGACATTGACTTATTACCACTACCTACTTCTCTCCCTTCTGATCATAAAATTCTCCGATTCGGTGTCTCTCGTTGTGTTTTCTGCGGAAACTGAGCAATATTCGATACCGCGAAACATCTTCGCAGTTATGTTTTATTTCCTCGCAGGAGATGTGCGGTAATCGAAAGTTAAGAATGTAGTTCAACATTTACAATAACATTCTATCAAATTTTCATGTACGTAGTCCACTGCAACAGCCGAACGTACGAACGAATAGGGTGACTATAGCGCATTTTAAGAAAACGTCACAAGTTTTTATGGCTGTTTTAAATCAATAATTACGAAGAAACCATAAAGCCTACAAGGTTACTACCAAAGGCACAAATCTAGGGAACTGCATGAAGAATGTTTTGTAGAACAACTAAATTAACAGTAATGATAATTTTCAACTTAAAAACACTAAAATGTACGAAATTTCACAAGTTTTTTTGGTACTTTCAACATACTTTTCAATTTTAATGTATGATAATTAATTTTAATCGAGTTATTTTCTATAGAGCATTGATAGGTAAGACTTAAATCTATCATTTGGTATGTTGAATTCAGAAATCCACATTAAGATTAAAAAAATATAGCAAGCCAAAGTTGGCAATAAAAAAAAACATAAAATGTTGAATAACTCACTTAGCAGTCATTTCCGACCCTATGTTTCATGGGGATTTTTTCATAACTTTAGGAGCCCTATATATAGCCCTGAAAATATTTAAAACCCGGAACCAAACACCCTGTATATCTATCTATCTATCTCTATCTATCTATATATATAAAAATGAATTTCTGTCTGTCTGTCTGTCTGACCCTTATAGACTCGGAAACTACTGACCGATTGGCGTGAAAATTTGTATACAGGGGTTTTTGGGGCCGTGGAAGGTTCTTATGATGGTTCGAGACCCCTCCCCCTTCTGTAAGGGGGGGGGGGGCTCCCATACAAATGAAACAATAGATTTGTCGCTATTTGTAAAATTAACTTTTTATTTTCCGCAGATGTACGTTTTACTAAAGAAATTTTTTGTACAAGAGGTGTTGACTAAATAGTTATTAAATAAGTGGCTTACCAAAATTATTATTTGTGTTTGCTACTAAAATCGAAAATACAAAACATAATAAAGCATTAAAAAAAAAACAAACATTTAATGTTAATTTTACATACATTTTCAGCTTTTCAAAGAACTGGAAAAGGCCAACCATCACCTAAAAAAATACAATCATGTAAATAAGAAAGCTTTAGATCAATTTTTGAGCTTCTCTGAACAAAAAGAGAAGCTTTACAAGCGAAAAGAAGAACTTGACGTTGGCGGAGAGAAAATTCGCGAATTGATGCAGAATCTAGAGATGCGTAAGGTTGAAGCCATCCAATTTACATTCAGACAAGTTGCTGCCAATTTCACGGAAGTGTTCAAAAAACTCGTACCTCAAGGATCTGGTCATCTCATTCTCAGGACTCAGAAAGACGTCGAAGGAAATGATATGGAGAAGGAGGTAGAGACTTCGGATGAATTCACAGGTATTGGAATTCGAGTATCTTTTACCGGTGTTGATGCTGAAATGCGTGAAATGAATCAGCTTTCTGGTGGACAGAAATCTCTTGTCGCTTTGGCTCTTATTTTTGCAATTCAAAAATGCGACCCTGCTCCTTTTTACTTGTTTGACGAAATTGATCAGGCATTGGACGCACAGCATAGAAAGGCAGTCGCGGACATGATTCATGAGCTGAGCGACAAAGCACAATTCATCACGACAACATTCAGACCGGAGCTGCTTGAAAATGCTCACAAATTCTACGGTGTACGCTTCCGCAACAAAGTGAGTCATGTAGATTGTGTTACCCGTGAAATTGCTAGAGATTTTGTAGAAGATGATACAACACACGGTTAGCTCTTTGTTTTAAGCAGTGTTTTAGTTGTAAACTTCCGAAATAATAATAACTGTATTTTATTCCTTTAATATGAGTACATTTTTTTCTTTTATATCACAACTATCCCAGACAACTTATTTTTGTTTGTATTCTAACAAATCCCGAAGGAAACAGATGTAGGTCCGTCTCTTCTATGAAAATATATCGTCTCCTGAGTTACTTTGTCACCCTTTTATACCCAACACCAGAGACCACTAATATGAAGCCCTCTCCTTCATAAAGAGGTGAACCTGTTAGTGACTGAAAGCCTTTATAATAATAATGAACCTTTGTGTGAAAATTGGCTCAGATCAATCGGACAAACAACCCAGGGGTCCCTCTTTTACAACCACTCCCTTGGGGCACTCATACGCTCCTTGAAGGTTCTTATCACACGAGACACAGTTGTATTAGCAATTCCGGTGGAACGCCTCTGGATTTTGATTGATAGCGCACAATTTTTTTTCACTGACTATTTCTTGTTTCGACGTGACTATTTCCAATCATGTGACTGGAACCCCGAGCAAAGTCTGAGATCAAATTGAAATCTAAATTTGATGTTGTGATTTCGCTGATAATGATTACTCAGGTTGCTGTCGTTTTGGTCGTTTAACGGTTAAAAAATCAAAATTGAGAGCAAATAAATCTTCCTGTGACATCACATTGAAAACTATTTCTGCTATCAGTGTGAGCAAACCGAACACTAAATTTGATATCCATTTTTCCTGTTGATAACAACACAAGTATTCAATTTGATGTTATGCTAAGGCAATGAAAATAAACCCGCAACAACATATTTTTGAAGAGCAAATGTACAGCAAAATGAAAATAAAATTAGGTATCAATTTTGTCAATTGTAAAATTATTATTTCAGTTTGATGTTGATATCAAAACTTGATTTCAATTTGTTGTCATTTTGATGCTGGACTTTGCTCGTGTGTCTCATCTATCCGATGGTGAAATCAGCGATGGAAGTCAAAAATGACAGTTACGTTATATAGTGGTATACCTGTATTCAAAATTTTCATGACATGAATTCCAGAATTAATTTGAAAATCTTCTCTGAATTATCATAGAATTCTTCTGAAATTAACAAGAAAACACTCCGCGTAATAATTACCGTTAAATTCTTTTTGGAATTTTCTTAGAAATTAAATTTCACTTACTAAAACATAAATATCTCCAGCTGTAATGAAGCTATATCAATTATTTGAACGCCAAATTAAATGTGATTCTTTTTTTTCGATCAGTTGAACATCATTTGTCAGAGTGGCATTGTTGTTAGTTAATAGTTTGTTTATTTTTTTAAGTTTTGCATATTTCCAAGAAAATTGGATTTCAGCAAAGTTTTTAAACAAGGTAAATACACTTTGACTATATGTTTTTAGTATTACTTCTACGTGAAGTCAACGATTTACATAGTTGAAGATGCTAATTTCAAATAACAGACTGTAGTGGTAATTTTTATACGATAGATGGAGTAGATGAAAGCATAGAGTTGATAGTTCCGTTAGAGTACGGCAGTGTGAAGATTGTATATAGATATTAGAATAGCAAGCTAGGACAACTTTTAAGGAAGGTACAATTCGGTTTTTTCATCTCTCTTTACCAAACTCCCCCTTTGGGGTAAACAATAGTTGCAATTTCCAAACCTACGACTTGATGCCTTCCTTCAAATAACAACTGAAGTGCGGTAAAAAATCGGTAGAACTGTTTCAAACACACAGTTGGTACTTGAGCGGGTCGGTTTTCATCTCTTTTGCCAGTGGTGGCGGGGGGGGGGGGGGACACCCCTCACCATCCCTCTCCAAAGGGGGAGTTTGGTAAAGAGAGATGAAAAAACCGATTTGTACCTTCCTTAAAAGTTGGACGTGAGTATTAAATTTCATGAACCATGTTTAGATTCACGTTGAGCGAGTTCCAACGTCAAAAGGTTTTTACATATTTGTTTGTGTTTAACTTTGTACATCAGCGCGAGTACTGAAAGGTTAACATTTATGTTAGTATAGACAACGGGGTGAAGACACATTTTCTTTATCTGATATCCATAACAATTTTCTCTAATCCTCATTTGTATCAAGTTCATTATGTTTTTTAAATTAAATGTCTTATTTTTCACAATTCTGTCTTATAACCTATTCATCCAGATAGCATTTGACCTAGTGACCTTAATCTCTGTTTCTCAATAAATGCTAGGGCTTTGAAATCATAAGATGTATCGAGCATAAAAAGCGATAGAAATTGATTTTTCAAAGTATCTCGAAGAATCAATGATTTGTTTTGAATACATTACTTGACTCATAGAGTTGAAATTATACTTTCAGCTTTAAAAAATACTTTCTGTAATTTTGTTTTTACTTTTCCCACAAATAACCTCCGAAAATTTACAATTGGACACGTTTTTAAAAATGCGTACAATGTCGTTTTTAGTTGAATATTACAAACCGGGAAATTTTTTAAGATTTGAACCGGGAATTTCAAAATGAAAATTCACTGGCCACCCTGAATGGGTTAAAAAGAGAACGAAATAGACGCCTGAGACATAGGTAATGCTGACAAATATTAATATTTGGGTTTTTTGTCGATGCCTTTGTTTTGATTTATTTTCATTATGCTGTTTTTTTTTGGGTGTGTGCGCGGACCACCCGGACCAACTTCCGAACTAATAATAACTGTAACTCTTATTTTATTCCTTTAATATGAGTACATTTTTTTCTTTTATACCACAAATATCCCAGACAACTTATTTTTGTTTGTATTCTAACAAATCACGAAGGAAACAGATGTAGGTCAGTCTCTTCTATGAAAATAGATAGTCCCCTGAGTTACTTTGTCACCCTTTTATATCCAACACCAGAGGCCGCTCATTTGAAGCCCTCTCCTTCATAAAGAGGTGAACCTGTAAGTGACTGAAAGCCTCTATAATAATAATGATCTTTTGTGTGAAAATTGGCTCAGATCAATCGGACAAACAACCCAGGGGTTCCTCAAGGCAGCAACTTGGGAGCAATTTTCATTAACGAAATTGGTCTGATACCTCGAACTGACTGCCGATCATTACAGTATGCAAAAAAAGTTTATCCCGCCCCCTACCAATTAACATTTTTTTTTGTTTTTCTGGTGAAAATCTGTTTAATTTTATGAGTGTTCCTCCATGATTTATCAATTTATATTTATTTATCACATTGCCATTGAAAATACGGCGATTATATCTTTCCTTGAGATTTCATGTGATAAATTATGAAAAATGGTAAAAAATTACGCAAAAAAAGTTTATCCACCCCCAAACGGATACTATGATTTAAGTGTGTTTTACAGAGTTTTAGTGTGTATTCTGCAACTTTATCGAAAGGAAACATTGTGTCTATCTGTCATTTAGTGCTCTGAAAGTTTTCGTGCTCAAAATTTCAGTTTTGTGTTCAAAATTGGAAGTTATTTGTTTCAAAATGCCCAACAAAGACCAAATTTCGATCAGTATCCGAAATTTGATTATTGAACATCACAAAACTCGCAAAAGCTACCGTGATATTGCCGATATTGTCCAGATTCACAAAGATACGGTCACTAGAATTGTGCAGATGTACAAAAAGCGTGGTTCTATCTCACCAGCTAAGCGATCGGGGCGTCCTTCAAAGACAACTGGCCGAATTGACAGAGCTATCGTGAAGAAGGCGGAGCTGGACCGGGGACTATGAGCTCCAAAAATTGCGAAACAGATTGAAAGCGAGTTTTCCATTCAACTGACATCACAATCCGTACGAAATCGTCTTCATAAGAAAAGTCATAAGGGCAGAGTAGCTCTTAAGAAGCCATGGTTGTCCGCATAAAATTTTAAAAAAAGATTGAAGTGGGCTCAGGACCACATTTCATGGAACATGATGAGACGAAAGTAATGCTATTTGGGTCTGATGGTATCAATGGTGACCCAAATAGCATTACTTTCGTCTCGTCTGACCAGATCACCTTATTCCAATCATCACTAGTCCATGAAAGGTGGTCCTGGGCCCACTACAATCTTTTTTTAAAATTTTTTGCGGAAAACCATGGCTTCTTAAGAGCTACTCTGCCCTTAAGACTTTTCTTATGAAGACGATTTCGTACGGATTGTGATGTCAGTTAAATGGAAAACTCGCTTTCAATCTGTTTCGCAAATTTTGGAGCTCATAGTCCCCGGTCCAGCTCCGCCTTCTTCACGATAGCTCTGTCAATTCGGCCAGTTGTCTTTGAAGGACGCTGGTGAGATAGAACCACGCTTTTTGTACATCTGCACAATTCTAGCGACCGTATCTTTGTGAATCTGGCCAATATCGGCAATATCACGGTAGCTTTTGCGAGTTTTGTGATGTTCAATAATCAAATTTCGGATTCTGATCGAAATTTGATCTTTTTTAGGCATTTTGAAACAAATAACTTCCAATTTTGAACACAAAACTGAAATTTTGAGCACGAAAACTTCAAAAGCACTAAATGACAGATAGACACAATGTTTACATTCGATAAAGTTGCAGAATACTCGATGAACATTTCAAATGGTCCTATCTGCTTTGATCGATTCTCTTCATCGACTTTCTCTTTCGTTAATAACTAAGCTGCAAAACCTTTCCCTGTTGTATTTGACGTTTTGTACGCTAGATAAGAACCTCCTTTATCAAACTATGTGGTAGAATTAGCGCGAAATCTGTTTGCATAGCAGTGGTTATGAAAAGAGAAAGTCGATGAAGAGAATCGATCAAAGCAGATAGGACCATTTGAAATGTTCATCGAGAATACACACTAAAACTCTGTAAAACACACTTAAATCATAGTATCCGTTTGGGGGTTGATAAACTTTTTTTGCGTAATTTTCTACCATTTTTCATAGTTTATCACATGAAATCTCAAGAAAAGATAGAAACGCCGTATTTTCTATGGCAATGTGATAAATAAACATAAATTGATAAATCATGGCGGAACACTCATAAAATTAAACTGATTTTCAACAGAAAAACAAAAAGAAATGTTAATTGGTAGGGGGGTG